TAAAAGGAAGGGGAAGGGTGCGGGATGATAAACGAAACAAAGGATAGTAAACAGTTTTAGTCATTGACTGATCCTTAGGAAATACCTCTAATCATCATATTATTTATGCTCTCCAAGATTGTCTTAGGCACTGATCGGTATTGCACATTTTAGTCATTTACCTTTCTTTTCTTTTCTGTTTTTTTTTTTTTTAATCTTCTATTAACCTGTCCTCTTGATACAGAATTGATGTGTTATCTCTTATTTTGAATTGAAGATTTAAGCAAGAACTTTTGTGCCTTGGCATTGGGCTCACCTGAAGAGAGAAGAACATGGACTTTTCAAGCTCAGAAGTTGGTTTCTCTTTGCTCATTTATCCTTGCTAAATGTGATAAATCTCATGAAAGGGCTCAAGATATCGTGGTTCTTACATCTCTTGCAATGCGTCTTCTTGTTGTCTTAACTGATCAGAAGTGTTGGAAAAGCATTGCCAACAATAGTCCTAAGGATGCAGATGTAGCATGGAAGGATTTGGTCAGGTTTATGGGAAGACCTAAAAGTGGGTTGTACATATCTATTAGACGATACATTAACAATTTGGACACTCTTTTTTGTTCACAAACAACCACTCTGGCGCAGACAGATGATAGATTCTTGATCACTGCAAGTGCAATAACTTTAGCTCTAAGGCCATTTCATGTGACAAATTTTGATTTTATTGGGCCTGACACAGTGGACATGAATTCTGCCCCTGTGCAGCACTGTTTGTTTCTACTCACAATTCCCTGTCTCACTCAACGTCTGCCAGCTGTTCTTCTAGCTGCTCTGAAGCACAAGTCTATTCTCTTACCATGTTTCCAGACTCTATTGGTAAGGATCATTGAAATTTGTGCAAAAGCTTCCTTATGATTTCTTTCAGTAATTTTTTTTTGGTAATGCTTTGTTTCACAAATGATTGCATGTTTCTTGTTTTTGCAACTTATCCATAAGCTTACCTACGTGCGTGCTATATGATCGGTGACTGCCAACTGACTTCGTTTTATATGTGTGCTGTGGATTTTCTGCCCATTTTGATCCACGTTGTTGCTGCTGCATCAATGCTTATAGGAGATTGTAAAATGCATCAACCAACGGTTGGTGTAACCTTATCCAGTTTATGGAGAGATGAACTGTACAAATTGTTTTGTCTGCTATTGAGGTTTAAACTTGGAAATACTCTTGAAGCTTCGTATTTCTCATTTCAAATTAACAATCTGATGTATAATTGTCTACCTCTCATATAAAAAGCTTATCAGAAATCCATGATGATTACAGAGAGGACTTTGCAAAAAGATTGATCCCTTTAACTTTCCTCTGGAAACGCCATCCTTTTTCTTACAGCACAATGGATTGAAATTTTTGCTGCAATTAACTATTGATAATGTTCTATAGAGCCCAATGAAACTTATCTTCGTATTTTCTCTATGTAGTAAAGCATCACTTATCAAGGTCTTTTGATTTGAAATAGTAGCATGAGAAAGAAAATGTCGATCAACTGACTGTCACCCTTTCTTTTTGTTGTACTTATCTGAACAACGGAATAACCGATACAGCATAATGGATTGAACTTCATGTTGTCTATGTAGCTAAATGAGCACATTCGACTCTGTTAGTTATGCAGTGAATCCTTTTGATAGATTTCCATGCATATGGAGCTTAAAGTGATAAAATGGACATTAACTTATCCTGTATTAAATTCCTGAAGTCATTGAAATCCTAAGGTTCTTGTTTATTGATTCTTGTTTATTGATTTCATATAATATTCAAAACATGTGGGGACTGATCAAACTGGGGCAGATGATGACAGATATTGGGAGATGATAGTTTAAAGGAGATGTCAGAGATGGATCAGTTGAAAATCCAGCATTCTTCCAAAGCAATTCCGCCAGTTGGTTGGGCACTTGCAAACACCATTTGCCTAGCCACAGGGAGCGAGAATGATTTTATGGATCCTGGAGGGCTCAATCAAGGACTAGACTATTCAGTTTATGTCCAGGTTGTGATCATTCTTGCCGAAAACTTGTTGTCATGCCTTGATGGTGGTGGATGGACTGAAAAGGAGAACCAATATGCTCAGGTCATGGCAGAAACATCTGCAGAGCCCATTGGTGAAGCTTTGTGCGAGAGTGAAACATGTGCCTTAAAGATGACATATGTGAGCTTACTCAGACCTGTTTGTCAGCAGTGGCATCTTACGAAACTTTTGGCAATGACAAAGATGGATGCCGATATTTACAGGGATGAGACTTTGCCGGCCAAAACTCTGAAATACTCAAGAAAGTTGGATTTGCTCGGTATTGCATATTTCTATTCTTGCATGCTCCGAATATTTGCAATCCTTAATCCCACAGTTGGGTCGTTGCCTGTTCTCAACATGCTGTCATTTACTCCTGGGTTTCCCGTTACTCTATGGGAAGCATTGGAAAATTTACTTTTTCCTGGACATAGAGACATTTCTACGGTTAATGATTTTCACACAAGGAAAGTTTCAGCAAATAAAAATGATGGGTTTCTCAGGAAACAACAAAAACAACCCAGTAGGGATGGAGGTAATAAGTTGGTCAGTGTACTCCATAAACTTACAGGAAAGTCGCAAGCAGGGGTAGATTACGGAGATTCAGTTGATGGGAAACCTAGTGCACAGGTCGATGAGGATTTGCATGATGTTTGGGATGTAGAACCCTTGAGGTGTGGGCCACAAAAGATTTCAAGGGACATGTCATGCCTTCTTCATCTGTTCTGTGGTACCTATTCACACTTGCTGTTAATTCTTGATGACATAGAGTTCTATGAAAAACAGGTAAGTTGTTAATTTTAATTTTTTTTTTTTTGTCTCTGTTCATTTGTAGTGTAGAATATTTATTTGTGCATTTTTGTGGCAACGTAGGTTCCGTTCATGCTGGAGCAACAGAGAAGAATTGCATCAGTGCTTAATACCTTAGTATACAACAGCTTGGCCCACAGTACAAGTCAGCAGGATAGATCCCTTATGGATTCTGCGATCAGATGTTTGCATTTAATGTATGAAAGAGATTGCAGGCATCAGTTCTGCCCTCCTATTTTGTGGCTTTCACCTGCTAGAAAGAGCCGGCCTCCAATTGCAGTTGCTGCCAGAACTCACGAAGCTATTTCTGCTAATATAAAATCAGATGACATTTTGACTGTTCCAAGCATGGGTTCTGTAATCACCATTACTCCACATGTATATCCATTTGAAGAAAGGTAACTATAAGATACCCAATAGCTGTCATCTTGATCCTGCTCACTGTAATCACAGCAAACTCCTAGAGGCAAATGGCCAAAATGGTCAACTTGTTTTTGACATGACTCTTTCTATAAATGTACATTTTTCTTTTTGTCCTTCTTTGTATTTTTTTTTCATTAAACACCGTTTCTTTTCTTTTCCTTGAAAGAAAGCATCCGCTGTATTTGCAGAGTTCTCTAAATCTGCTTCCAATCTTCACATCTTCATGGGATTGATCTCTCTCTTTCTCAGTTTTTGGATGGTGTATCTACATGGTTTAGTACTCCTCTTTCATGCATCCCCATTTTCACGACATTTCTTTTCCACATGGGACCATTTTCTTTGATAGCCTTCACATATTAGTTTTGGTTTTCTTTCCATACTCCAAGCTGTTTGTTGACATCATGGATTATCTTTGCAGAGTTCAGATGTTTAGAGAGTTTATAAACATGGATAAAGTCTCGAGAAAAATGGCTGGTGAATTTACAGCACCGGGTTCACGAGCAGTGGAGATTGTAGTTCGTCGCAGTCATATTGTTGAAGATGGATTTCGGCAGCTTAATTCTCTTGGTTCAAGGTTGAAGTCATCCATTCATGTTTCATTTGTTAGTGAATGCGGCCTTCCAGAGGCTGGTTTGGACTATGGTGGACTATCTAAAGAGTTTCTAACGGATATATCAAAATCGGCCTTTTCCCCAGGAGTAAGTTTGTCCTGGTGTTTCCATATTGTTTCTTTTATTCTTCCATTATGCACTCTCCTAGAAGCAGCCTTTTTAATCCCTTTATTTCACATATTATTACTGTTTAAGGTATGGGCTATTCTCGCAAACCTCAACTTCAGAGAGACTTCTAATCCCCAATCCAACAGCAAAATATCTAGAGAATGGTATCCAGATGATTGAATTTCTCGGGAGAGTTGTTGGGAAAGCTCTATATGAAGGGATATTACTAGATTACTCTTTTTCACATGTTTTTGTTCAAAAGCTGTTAGGCCGATATAGCTTTCTTGATGAACTATCAACGCTTGATCCAGAGCTGTACAGGAATCTCTTGTACGTGAAGGTAAACCCTTGTCACAAATCACACTCTGTACGCATGCATGTTCCAGATCTATATTTTTCTGGATTTTTCTAGTCCATCAAACACACCAATGAACTTATGAAAAATGCATGTACTTTTATGGGTTAACTTTAGGCGGCTGGATTAAAAAATATATATATATATTTTAGTGTTGCAGTTAGATAAAGAGATTGCTGATTTCTGGACAACCAGGTAAGAAGATGAGGCTACTAGAAAATTGCTTAGGTGGATGGATGTTGTGAAAATAAAAGCAATTATCAGAAATTTGCATGCTCTAGATGACCTAGAAGTAGCCTTGGGATAGAGGATGAGCAAAGCAGTTATTCTTGTCTACAATGACAAAATGAATACACCCCTGAGAAGTTTGCTATTATATTCCAATTATGAATAATCTACATGATGTGAAGAAAGGAAGCCATGCATATATGGACACTTTAAACTAGAAATTGTCCTTCTATATTAATGAGACAACATATGTGTTGTTTGCTTAAATACATTTACTCAACATGACTGAAATCAAGATATCGTCTGATCAAGCTCGCTTCTTTAACTGCCATGCCTCATTTCTTGGAATATCTAGTGAAAAAGTTTGGTTTCTCCATTTTTATTTGGTTGGAAAGGGAGTTGGAGCATTTGAGAGGCCAGTAGAGGGTAATGATGTTGCCACTTGGTAAGTGATAATGGCATTCCACTCCATATGCTTGTGGAGTGGTGAATTGTACTGTTGGATGACTGCCAGTGTAAGTTTGTCGAGCGGCAAAATCATCACCTGCCAATAGATCCCAATTTCTATACAAGCATGCAGAAGAAAAGAACAAGAAGACTAGGGAAAGCAAGAATATGTAAAGAGAATAGGATACAAACAAGAGAAAAGAAGAGGAAGTACAAAGAAATAGGAGGGCAATTGGGGCAGAGCGGTTTGGGGATGGGAGGCAGGGGAGCTTCTTAAGTTAGTTCCATTTACAGGCTTCTAAGCAATATGGTAACATCCTTAGACTCTAATTGCCATCCTAAGATCTTTGTGGAATGTGAAGTGAAGATTATTTTATTATAACATAAACATTCTATGCCATGTTATTTAAGAACGGCTTCCCTGTCAAGTATTCTCATAGAATTTGCACACATTCCAATTTGGTAGATAGCGAAGTAGATAGTTTGAAATAATAGATAGTTTGAAATGAGGCATTGTAGACAACTGACTGCTTGGTTGAGCTGCATTGATTGTTTGTATGCCTTCAATTTATTTAGTTCTTTGTGTTTTATGCTATACTATGAATGTTTTGCATGTACTTCGATGCTACTACTGGACATACAAATCTTGATGTTTTATACTCACCATCCCAGAGGAATTCACAAATCTTGATGTTTTATACTCACCATTCCAGAGGTCACTCCAGCTAATAGAGTCTCTTAACATGTTACTGCAGCATTATGATGGTGATGTGAAGGACCTCTCTCTAGACTTCACTGTTACTGAAGAATCATATGGTAAACGGCATGTTGTTGAGCTTAAACCTGGTGGCAAGGATGTTTGTGTGTCAAATGAAAACAAGATGCATTACGTTCATGCAATGGCAGATTATAAACTAAATCGACAGGTCTCTGATTGCTACTATTTGGAAATGAATCTATCAACTTATTATGAGATTGACCTTATTATGACCATTCGGATTGCAGATATTGCCCTTTTCAAATGCATTTTATAGAGGACTAGCAGATCTTATATCACCATCTTGGTTAAAGTTATTCAATGCTAGTGAATTCAATCAGGTAGCTTCCTCTGCATGCATATGATTGATTATTTGTTCTGTTAATTTTTTAGTTCTTGTAAAATACTTTATCTTTTGGTTTGAAATTAGTTGCTTTGTTATCACCTCTTTTGTGCATGCGACTCTTTCAAGACCTGAAACCTACTGCATCCTTGAAATCCATATGGTGTATGATCATAACAGCCACTATTTAATGGATTTGGAGAAATTCATTACCGTTAGTTGGCGTTTTAGTGCCTATAATGCCATTACATAAATGTAACGGCCATTATTATGAAAATATATCATGTCAATAATTGTCCAATAACAGTCTACTTACTGGTATCATTTTTGATAGATTTTGTGTAGTTCACGTTTTCACACTCTACTCTTTTGATAGTTATAATGTACTGGTTTTATGGCGCTTAGCTATTAGAAATATTATTATTGTATATATTTAGTGAAATTATTAGAAAAGAATGCATTATCAAAATTTATTTAACACCTGCGAAGACTGCAAACTGCAACTGCAACTGCAATCTCAATGTAAAACTATGATACAACCAATTCTACCTAGAAGAAGATGATAAGCTATCCTTCTTGAAACTCAAATTTCTTAAAATTGGGAGTTTGAGTTCAGGCCCTCCCACCTTTCTCCACATGGATTGTTTTTGAAGTGATTTGTTGTCTTGCTGTAATTTATAGCAAAACCATCCTCTTTGATTTTTAAAAACTTTCACATTCCTTAGGTTGACAAAAATAAGTTATTATATCCTTCAGAGATTACATTTCTATCTTTACCATCATGTTTACCACCTCTTTCTTATGTGTAGAATCAATTTAATATATTTTGAGGCTGATGATCGTTTTCTCTCTTATGCAGCAGGTTTCTCTTAAAAGGATCAAATGCTGACTTTGATTGCTTTTTTCAGTTACTTTCAGGTGGCGACCTTGACATTGATATTGATGATTTAAGAAGTTGCACACGATATACGGGTGGCTATTCTGAGGGAGTCGAACAATTAAACTTTTTTGGGAGGTATGGCCCCATAGTGGAAGTTGAATGACTTGATTTTTGTATGTTTTGAACTTCAGTTTGTGTACAAGTCATTCATAAACATTTGATCCTGATCCTTTCTGCACCTTTTTCCCCTTTAATTTAGCATGCAAGTTACCTTATTGAATGATAGAAAAATCTAGAAGTAACCAGACTGCATTACAAATAATTAATGATGCAAAATTTGCTCACTCAAAGAAAAAATCTTCAGTAATTGTCATTCAAAAATCTCTGAATCGAATCATGCAAGGATGTGTATCATTACTAGTTCCTCCTACATAAGCAGATGGAACTCCTGTTCATGTTATTTTTAAAATTAATTACTGATTTCTCACTAAGACCTGGTTACTGTTTTCAAAGGTTTGAGACTATTTTTTGGTCTACACGTGCTCATAACCTTTTCAATGTATGTAGTAGTCAATCCAGTGGCTTCTTGCAACCACTCTAGTCTCTGCTTCCAATTTTTCCGTTTCTGTAGTGTGTGCATCTACTAAAAATAGATTCCTTAAGAAATCACTCATCTTTTGGGCATGCTTTCATTAGCCAATGCATCAAACCTTGTGAATTCCCAATTTTCAAAGTTTTATCATTTGGAATATTTACCTGAAATGGTCTTTGTTTTATTTTTAATTTTTTTGCTTATCATTATTTGTTTCAGGTTATTAAAGGATTTGAACCAAATGAGCGTTGTATGCTGCTTAAATTTGTGACCAGCTGTTCTCGAGCTCCATTGCTTGGTTTCAAACACTTGCAGCCATCCTTTACAATCCACAAGGTAGGCTCTTGATTTTTGCGTCTTCTGGAAATATCAGATCAAAATTTTTATGGCATAGGATCTATACTATCTATTTTGATTTTCAGTGTCTTAGGGAATAGTAACTGGGCTTGCTTTGGCTACATCAAGAATTTCTCAACTTCAGATAGCATTTAGAGGCTTAACACAATAACTTTTTTCTTATGCTGTGCGGAATGCATATCCAGATTTACAATATTGAATATCAGATAGTGATAGGATGTGCTGTTTGTTAATAAGCCACAAAAGATTCTGTTTTATTTTCAATATGACATTTCAATCTTGAAAAAGCAAAGCTTTCTGTCATAGTATGCGCAGAGTATACAACGAGAATGCCCTTTTGTATTGAAAATGGTTTTTTGAACAAGAAGCATTAAACTGGCTTCAGGTATGTTTTGTTTGAACAAGAAGCATCCTGGGCACACTGAATAATACGTGGGTCCTTCTGTACCGCTACTAGGGCCATCTGATTAGCAATAAAGCAAAAAAAAAAAAAAATGGCATGCCAACCATGTGTATTGGAAGAGAACAGAAGCCGGGCTAGCAATTAAACTTGATATTTTTTCATTTTCCCAAATATGTCTGGCACACATTGGTCTCTGAAAGCAACTGTATACTGAGTAGATAAGTATTCATTTGGTTCTTAAAGTAATCAATTTATGGCTGTAGAAATATAGCTTTGAGGAATTATTGCTGATTTCTTTGTATCTGTTTTTATTGGATTCGCATGCTCTCCTTTAAAACCATCTTTACACTTCAACCCTCAGCCTTCTTTAGAAATACTGCTTTATATATGTCCGTTCTGTTTTAGTAGTTTTCTTTTTTCCTTTTTGAATTATCCATTGCAATGATTGTCAGATCTGATTGTTTTACTTGTTAAATTTGTTTACATTTTAAATGCCCCATGACCCTCATGCAAAACCCAATGGGTAGCCAAAATCCATACTAGGGAAAGGAGAGAAAAATTTAATCAATAAATGGAGTTGAGTCTGACATTTGATCTTATATAGGTCTCATGTGATGCCTCTCTTTGGGCAACAATTGGAGGACAAGATGTGGAGCGGCTTCCATCAGCTTCTACATGCTACAATACTCTAAAGGTACTGTTAGTGCAAAGTCTTAGCTTCTGATCCAACAACATCAAACATCTTTCACCTAACCTTGGGTTGTGGCTGTCTTTTTCTTGATTTCTTGGATGGTTACAGCTTCCAACATACAAACGTGCAAGCACTTTGAAAGCAAAACTTCTTTATGCAATCAATTCTAATACTGGATTTGAACTTTCTTAAGGATCTCTTGATCTTTGACTTGTTACGGTCGAGGTATATTTTTTGCCTCTTCTTAAATCTCTAGCTCTATACTCAAGTGAAACTGGGTTTGTGATTGCCACCTGTTACTATCTTGACAAGCTTACTTCATTCTCTAGCTGGTAATTGGTTACAATCAGTATTGGTCATAAAACTGAAATCGAAATCATCTTATTAAATTGATGGATAGATATTTCTTGCACAGGTCGGAGCATTGAATAGCCCTGTCACTTCTATATAGCTAACGAGGTTTCACATGGCCATTAGAATACTTCAATTGTTAATTCCACTCTGTAGTTTTTTTTTTTTTTTTTAGTACCCAAAGTAACATCTTTTGTGCTTGTCTTTAAATTGATTATTTTATTTTTGATATCATACCTGAGAAAAACGGCTAAACCTTTACAAGCAATAAAAAGAGTGTAAACATTAAAATTTGGAATTTTTTTTTTTTTTTTTTTGAAATTTGACATCATGAAGCATTTTATTAACTTATGAACAACCCCCCCCCCCCAACCCCGCGGGCGTGCATGTGAAATATGTTTTTTATATTAATATTATAAAAGATACTACTTTTATGTCTTTCTTTAAAAAGTTGAAAATAGATTTTTAATTAGGTTTTGTTTATAATGTTTAGAATTAGCATCTTGGATTTAATTATAAAGAGAGAAAATAAGATAAAATGTTAATCTGGTCAAAGCGTAAAGCTAATTTGTCTGATTAACAATTCAAGGAGTGTGAAGTGCCACTCATATATTTGAATAACGTTTCATATATAATGTACATAAGAAATTCATAGGAGTGCAGTATTAGTAAAGTGTTCTAGCTATGGTGAGAGTATCTCATAAGAGATGATGAAGCATCCCTGTTCAAATATAGCAGCTTTAGAGGGATGGAATTCATCCCAAAACGCAGATTGTGCATCATTGGAGCAAACCTGGTAATGCAGTATGCAGAGCATCTATATTATAACAATTCTGCCCCAAGGCTTTCTTGACCTAAAGAACCCTGTAACAAAAAAATTAATTAAAAATATTAATGTATGTATGGAGCTCTGTGGGTCCAGCAATCTTACTGAACTTTGGTGTAACGGCCTTTAGCTGTGCGTGTCAGTTCAACTGTGAAATGATCAAATCATTAGACTTTTGGTTCTGTGTTTTTATTTTCTGGAAATGTGTGTTAATTACTTATGCATGGTGCATTGACAAGCTCCTTTCTGCAGAGGGGCACCTTTTGATTGCTGCTGGTTGCTGGTAGATATCAGAGACCACATTTTGAGGTAAGGAGTGCATTGACCAGTACCTCACTGGTGCTGTTTAATTTGTAGTTGAAGAAACTGGTCTCTTGGTTTAACTACCTAGGAACGGGTTGCTTCCTGCCCTGGAGAGGGTGATAGTTTCAGGCAAACACCCCTTTTCGGCAGTAGGGTTGTCACTCCTACTCATAAAAGATTCTGTCTCAACACCTCCTTGTTGGAAACAACTTTGTGCTTCGAAGAAGATAAAGAAGAGGATCTCATTTATCTAGGTATTGAAATCTTTCTCAAATTATTTGTACATATTCTAGATCAGCATCATGTAATTAATATTTCAAGTTTATTATTCTGGAATCTCCCCATCTGTTAATTCGTTGGTCGATTTAATTAATTTAGATGATAAGATTCTATGCAAAATCTGCATTCCTAGACAACAAAATAGTATACCCTTTGTCCTACGTGGCTGTACTTGTTTCCTTTTCAATTTTTTTTTTAATAAAAAACATGATGTAAAGGAATTTGGTGCAATATCTGAATAAAGTGTAGGAATTCGTGAGAATGTCTGAAATTCGTTCTTCCGAGTAGAATTCATTCGGATAATGCATGTAAGAAATCTGAATAAAATGGCTGCTCCCTGCGCTTAGAAGATGGATAGGACCAGAGAATTTGTCACTTGCTTCGGCTAAGCCCAGTTTTATGTACACAAAGCTTTTTAAACTGATTTGCCATCTAGGGATGCAAGTGTTTGGTTCAGATAAAGGAGTGAAAGTTTTTTAAAGGGCCAAACCTCGGGGAGGTGTCGATAATGTACTCAATCGCTTATGCTTAGGAAGGATGGAAAGAGTAAAATTGAAGGATGGATATCACTTCTTCCATCTAGTCTCTTATGCATAGGAAAGATGGGGACAAGAAAGAAGGAAAGCGTAAAATAAATGGATGGATACCAATTCATTCATCTAGTCATTTTGGCTAATATAGAAAAAGCAAGAACATGATTTGATGGACTGCTAATTACATGTTAGGAATGACAGAAGGGATGAACTTTCTCTTCGTATGGGTCTCCGTTCACCCACCAAAGGCGATTGCAATTTGTTTTTCAGGTGGGTAAAGAGAAGAAAAGAGGAATGGCTGAAAAAATTCACCTGTAAGTTCCGGAGAAGACAGTAACCATGCTCTAGGTTAAAGGAGTAAATGAGGTGTTTAGTGACATGGATTCTTATTTGCATTTTGTAAGAAAATGGAGGGGTATTCAAAAGTAAGGGAAGCCGGACATGGTGATTTGCGGTCGACCCATATTTTAAGATAGAATTCCTTATTTAAAAAAAGCAACAGTTAATTATAATTTAGTTCCTGTTATTTTGATAATTTTGTAAGGTAGTCCTTTTAATTTTGAAAATTATAAGTTGGTTCATGAATCAAAATTGACAGTTAATTTTTTTTTTTTTTTTTTAATATCCAAGTTTCTCTTTTTCAATCTCTCTCTCTCTCTCTCTTGTAATTGAAAATTTTTACTATCAAGGAAAGACAATTTAGGAAAAAGTTCATTAATTTGTCATGAAAAACAAATGAAATGACTAAAGGTGCAAACAAATACAAAAATATAGGGATTCAACATTGGTTTTTTGAAACTAAAGAAATTAGCTAATTATTTCACTAAAATTTTATTTAACAACGAATGGTTTATTGAGAAGAAGAGACAAGAAGCGAATCTGGAGTACAGGAGACCCAGAAAATATGTCATTTTCGCTACGATATATCAATGGGTTTGGGAAAAGAACAAACAAATAAAATATTGCAAACACAGAATGCACGTAAAATGGTGGATGACAAGTGAGAATATATATACAGAAACGGCAATGTTATGTATCGAGGACTAGGAGCAATATTGTTTTTAATCAAGGCCGTAGGAGATGTCTGGATCTCCTCCTAGTGGCAGTACAGGGCAGGCACCTTTATCTAACCTTAGGCAATATTGTTTTTAATCATGTCTTTTTTCTTGGAAGGTTAAGTGTGCAAGCACTTAGCAAAGCTCTGCTAGTAAATACATGCAGAAACTTCAAAAAATGAAAAGAAGTTCACTGAAATAGAAATTGCCATAACAAATACAATCATCTTATTAAACTGAAGATAAATATCTCTTACAGAGATTTGCTAACCAGGCTTGACATGTGCATGGTCATCCCATGAGATGAAACTGCCAGATGACTAGCAAAGTACCTATTGTATTTAATTATATACCTCTGATAATAATAATATTTTCAAATAAGTATATATAAGAAGATCAGAGGAGTGCTGTAGTAGTAACTAAATTGTTTTATCTATGGTGGGAGGGAGTAGGTAGCTCCTAAGAGATGAGGTCGAACCCCTGTTCAAGTAGATCACCAGCCAAGACCTGGTTTGCAGCTTCAGAGGGATGGAATCCATCCCAAAACACATACGCTGTGGCATTGGAGCATGTTCCCACCGACGCAGCATTGCAGAGCAGTGAGGTCTCTAATGTACCTGTTCCACAGCAAGCCCTTCTTGACTCAAAGAACCCTGTCACATCAACACCATGATTAATTAACCGAATCGAAGTTGATGATCAGTTGTTAGGACTTTGTGCTGTATTTTTTCAGAGAGTGAGCAATTACTTACCATTGTCACTGGGCTTCCTGATCATATCCAAGAGAGGATGGTAGATATCAAAGACCACAAGTTTGAGGCCAGGAAGCTTATTCACCAGGCCTTGGGAAGTGCTGTTTAGTTTGTTGTTGAACAAAATGGCATCTTGGTTTAGCCTCTCAACGCACTGGTTGCTTCCTGCACCAAAGAGGGTAATAGCGGCAGGCAAACACCCTGTTGGAGGAAGGGTTGTCACTCCAATCCTTCTTGCTCCAAGTCCATAGAGATTCTGTCTCAATACCTTCTTGTTAGAAAACAATTCTGTGCTTTGAAGAAACTAAAGAAGAAGATTATTTCTCGTTTATTTAGCCATGGAATTAATGTATTAGTATGTGTACATGTGTTTGAAAAAATGATCTTGCTAGCTACTAATGGTTGTATTTTATCGTTCTGCAATTTCCCTTATGAGATATAGACAGGTTTGTTTGTGCAGAAATTTATTGGTAAACTTGATTAATGTAAGTAATGTAGACATAAGATTCTGCCCAAAATCTATGTTTTTTTTACCTTTCTCAAACACTTGTTTGGAAACAAAGAATCTGTACTGTAGTGGGATGGATACCTGAATAAAAGTAGAGTAGGAACTCATGAGAAGGTCTGAGAATCGATCGACTGAGTAGAGTCCTCTAAGGACTAAGTTGATGTAATAATTCTGAATAAAATCACTACTCCCTGCACTCAAAAGATGGATAGCACCAGAGAATATGTCATTGGCTCTGGCTCTTCCAGCCATGTTCACAACTTTCATTTGATACTCCCTGTAGTAACTCAACTGCCTGGTCAATGAAATGGCACTCTACAAACCATAAGAGAGAGACAGAGTCATGTAACCACATGCTATGTTTTTTTGATATAGAGAAAGAGGAGATGGCATTGTTCTTACATATAACTGGGCTGTCCCGTCAAAAAGACCAGAAGCAGCTGAGGCAAAGTTAACTCCAGTTAGCATGTTACTTCCTCTGGCCTCTGGGCTAAGGTAAGCTGGTGGGTATGAGGTGAAGCCTAGGTATTCAGCTGCACATATTTCATGAAGAAACCAAACAAAGCATTAAGCATAGCAAGCTTATGAGACCGGACCAATGAGATGAAAAACAAGAGCGGGTTCTTGATAAGTACAGTTACCTGTGAAGTCTGTTGCTAGCTTTCCATTACAGAATCTTCCACTTGGTCTGTGAGTTACAAAATCTCTTCCATAAGGAGGAAAGTTTGCCTTGATGAGTGTAGTTAGGTTGTTGTTGTTACCCACGTCAACAACTGAATCTCCAAAGATGATGAGTGCTGGAACAAGAGGATCCCCACGAGCCACAGAGGCAACCAAAACCAGAAGAAAGGAAGTAGCCCAAAAACTACTTGCAAACCCCATTTCTTTTCCTTAGTTCCCACAACTAAACTCACTGGCCAATGCGAGTGTGTGTGTGTGCAAGAGAGAGAGAGAGAGATATTAGAGTGAGTGGGGAAATGAGGAGGCAGGTGGGGGAGAATTTAAGAAGTGAAATCCAGTGAATGATGGTCAAAGTATTATAACTGCTTTAAAGAGTGCAATTCCAATAAAGCTGCTTATTTTCTGGGAAGGAAGCATGTTTAGCACCCCATAAAAAGCCCATGATTTTTGTCCTCTTTGTGAGTCTGTATTTATTAGGCTAACTAAAAGGTTACCATCTTTCGGCCATGTTTATACAAATGTTTTGAGGAGATGACACAACAATTTAGTTAAAGCTTCAAACCCTGATAAAACCTAAGGGAAAAGTCCTAATCTTTTTCTATCCCAGATCACATTTTACATGATGCTCCAGAAGTTGCATGTTCTTCCTTCCTTGCCTCAACCAAAGCAAGAGGGGACAAACACCAATAAAACAAAAACATATAGTAGTCCAACAAATTGTTAAAACTAGCCAACTTTTTTTCAGAAATGATCATGATAAAGTAATGCATCAAGCTAGCTACGATTGACATGAGCAGTGTAGCCCTTAGAAAAGAGTAACCTAATGATTCTGCTCTGCTGCCTTTTTTTGGCACCAACTTCACAACTAAATTGACACGGCTCGGGTGAGGAAGAGAAGTGCCTTGCATGTTCCTTGAGATGCCAAGTGGCTTTACTCATCATATAAAGCGTAGACTATAAGTGCTCTAGATAAATATATAGTGCTATCTGCATTATCGTCTGTCCTCCATTTTCCTTTTTTTTTTTTGGTTAGGTTTGTGCATAAACAAAATTCACCCACCACCGCAACATCATCATCGTTATTAGAAGCATTTCTTCTAATACTATGCTTAATTTATTCTATAATTATCATTCAACAGTTAATTGGTCAAAGAGGATGAAATTAAGTGCTCATAAAACCTTAATTAATCTATATATGTGCGTGTGAGTATGGAATGCATATTATTATTATTATTTTTTTGCTCGGCCTTCTTCATCAGATTATTTTATTTGTAAGGTAAAGATTATTTATTTAATTTAAATTTTATAAATTTATGTTTGCCAACAAGATATAACCCGTTTATATCTCACAAAATAGTATTGACAATGAAATTTGGTGTATTGGCTCTACGAGATGTTCCTATGTGTACTTCAAAAACATGAACCACATTGATCAATTTCACTCCTACATGCAACAACTAGGTACCTCGCTAATTTTAATTAAGTCCTCGTGTAGGGAAAGAATATATAGCTAAGTATTCTATATATTACTAATTGTTTTCAACTTTTGGTATTAATTATAGAATCTATTGAAATTAAGATTTTAGGAACAATTTTTTGTTTTTATTATTGGATATATCTTTCGTTACTAATTTATTTACATATACAAGACAATTAAGTTTTGTTGCAGATGAAAATGAAAGAAAATGTAATAAATTATTGTGCATCTGTTGATATTATAATAATTAATTTTTAGTCCTTAATTAGCAACTATTATAATTTCGATTATTATTATTATTATTTTTTAAGGATGGCATGCATAAGATTGTTTTTCAGTTGCGTTTCTTATTCAACGTTCACAGTTCGTCTTATTGTGCCGTACATTTAGCATTTTGAGTTCAAGAGTTTGGTAAGAATTCTGAACCGTACAAAATGGGTGATGGAGAACCACAAATGCCATGCATAATTTTGTGCCTACTACAACTAAGGTGAAACCCCCACTCCCCCCAAAAAAAATATTTTTTCTTTAACTATTTGGGATGTAGTGTTATTTCAGTTTATTAAGTCATAAGGTATTTGTTAATCTTTGTTACTCTTTATATTTTTCTGTTTTTGTTTATTTTAGCTATGAAAATATCTATTTATTCTTTTTTTTTAATTTAAAACTAATACAAACTATCATCCTCTTTGTTATAGGCTTAGTAATTATTTTCTTTACTAGATTTTTTGAAATCTCTAATTTTATTTGTAAATAAATAGAAAATCAGCTCTCTCTCTCTCTCAGTCTTAATTAAAACTTGACAATTTTTTTAGTTTAATTGTTTTTCATTCGGAATAATGGAAATAGTTTAACAATAGAACATGATTTCTAACTTATAAAAAACTGATGATATTAGTTATGTAACATTAATTATTATTATTATTATTATTATTATGCACAAGTTTGCTAGTTGCCTATCTAAGCAAATATTCGTCTTCCTATTCATAATATTATACTGAAAAATCATAAATTTTAAAAAGCAGGCAAATGCTGCAAACCAAGCTGATGAGTGCAAGGGCCAAGGAGTTATAAGGGTCCATATATAGTTCTGAAGTAAGCAATGCAAGCAGCTCAATTAATTCAGGATAGACTGAGTTTAAGAGAAGTATTTAAACTGGTGTACGTACGTATATGTAAACTTAATTTAAAAACCCCTAAACTCTTGCATTCGGAGGCAACTCCCTGATAATTAAGTACTTAATGCATATATAATTAAGAACACTGTTAATTTACGAATTGTATTGGTATATAGTACTCCTGCTATATATATATTAAATGAAAATACTGTCCTGGGATGCTTAAATGCAGCTGCTGAAAATCTGTACAGTTGCCCAGCAACTGGAATTCCCGTGTAGTGGTTTGTACTGGTCTGTATATGTGCTCTTTTTAGCCATCTGATAAAAAGAGACACAAGCTACAAAGCCAACCCAAATTAGATAAATCAAACATCACTTCTTTAATATCCTCTTCCTTCCCTCTTGTGCTAAAAGGGATTACTTAATTTGTGGTTTGCTTGTTTCTTTCACTGATTTTGTGGGGGAATGGGATGGGCACCCTATGAATAAATCAGCTTTAGCAATGAAAGCAGCAAATTTATTTATATTAATAAAGCTTTTTTTTTCTTTTTGTTTTTCCTCTTCTTTTTTTATTACAAAGTCAGTGTTAATAGGCATCTTTACTAACAAATAAGGACAAACTAAGTTGGTTAAAGACTTATTATAGAATCGTATCAAATTGTAGTTATGCCCTAAAATCAAGAGTTGCTTCAATTTAATATCGGATCTGATTAAGTCTCGTTACGATTGTTATTCAGGAACATCTCACCATTTTGGTAAATTAAAGACCTATTGATTAATTAAAATTGAGATACAAATGAAAATTTTCTAACATGAGCTATTCTTTTTTATTTTTTATTTATTTTGAAATGATTACAAAATCTCATAAGAACATCATCGGTTTTTTAAAATATGAGACTCGTTGACCCAACATGAAAGCCCGAGACAAGAAAATCTCATCTGAAACGTATCCACTCAAGAACAAAATATTACATGCTAAAATATCAAACATGTAGCATAGGTCAAAGAAAACCAGAATAATATCAAATGACATTAGTAAATTCTAAAGTACTCTAAAACATAACTTGAGAACACATGTATTTAGAACATTATTAAAATTTTTTTAGAAAAATATCAAATAAAAAACTAGCCCAAATTGTTAATAAATTGAAACATCATTTAAAAAACACATCATATATATATATATATATATAACAGAAGCTAAAGAAAATTAAAATAAATAACAATCGAATTATAAAAAAATATTCTGAAATTTGAAAACATGACTTAAGAATGTATGCATTTAAAACATATCAAAATTCCAGGCAAAAAAATCGTATCAAAACTACTCCAAATTAATTACTAACAAACAGAGACATATTAATCAAATTTATTTATGACAAAAAGTCAGACATGTAGTATAAACTAAGAAGACTAGAAAAACTACAAAACGGTATTAGAAAATTATGAAATTCGAAACATATATAACTTAGGAACAAATACATTTAGAACATATTATAAATTCAGATGAAATTCATACCAAAAACTAGCAAAAATTACAAACAAACAGAAACATACTAAAAAATATATATTTGATCCTTTCAATTTAACCTTTATTATACTGAAATAAAAAATACTCAAAAGACTGCTTTGTATAGGTTAAGCTTCTTCTTTTTCCCTTTTTTCTCTCCATTTATCTATGCTTTTTTTCTTTTTTCTCACCCTAAGATATCTAAAAGATTTCACCTTTGTATCTCAACTCTTGATTTAAACCTGATGGATGAAACATTCTTGTTTTGTGAGAGAAAGAGAGAGAGAGAGAGCTACAGAAAGCTTTTTTTTTTTTTTTCAGTTTTGGTTTGTTGAGGAGGATGCTTTAGAGCTATTTTGGTGGTGCAAGGAGGAAACTTTTACGTTATATATATATATTTATTTCGAGGTAGCTTGTGTGAGGAAGAAAGAAGTTTTGAGGGTTGTTTTGTGGGTTGAAAACAAGGAAGCATAACCGGAATAGGAGGGGAAAAACACACAAAAAAAGAAAAAGAAAGATGACTAATAGTGCCCACAAAGTGAAACGACATGCTGGTCATTTTTTTGGTTTCCTTTCCGCTTAAAACGACGTCGTTCTTATTGTCCTTTTTTCTCATCCTTCAATTTTTCCATCTTTTTTATTTTAATTCTTAGCATTTTCTTTCTTTTTCAATTGTACCTCTCGATTGATGATCTTTTCGGCTATCTTTCTTGTTATTATTTCAATTGCACCCCTATGTCCTATCTTTTATCTTTTCAGTCCTCATTCTTTTTTAATCTCTTTTAATTTTTACTCCTTGATTTTTTTTCAGTTGTCTTTCTTCTAGCTTTTCTATTCTTTTGCTCCGACCTTTTTTTTTCTTTCTGGGGTTTTTTTTTTTTTTTTTGGCCTCTTCAAATGTTTATTTTCTCTTTTGGCTTTCTCATCTGTCGTAAAAAAATTAAGAAAAATACCAGTATGTATTAAATTTATCAAAATTGTCCAAATAGCTAAAAATCATGCAAAAAATCACAAGAATTATGTAACATGCAAAAGTTTTTAATTTAGAATATTTTACATAAATGATTATTTTTAAAAAAGAAATTTATGAGACGTCAAAAACGAGTTATGAAAATGTGCAGTCCAAAAATGTTATACTCAATTGGAGTGGTTGTCTTCCTGTTCCACTTTGAACATCAATTATCAATATCAAGGATAAAATTTTGGTTCTTCTAATTCGGCTGCTAACTATTACTGATTATGGCTAGGACCAAGAGCCGAAGGGTTCGACTGCGCCCAAAATGATACTCCTAATCAGGCCCTGTTGCTACAGATACACTGGCCTAAAATTATCCGTGGAATGAAAGAATCTATCAAAGCACCAGGCTTCTGTAATATTTATATACTTTGGAGTTAATGACTTCATTTTGTGCACTGACCGTGTTAATGAAAATGTCTTTATATGTTAGTTCCTTGAGCTATATGAATTGGCCTGCTAAGCACTAATCGCTGACCTTGAGTTATTTCAATTGGCCTGCTAAGTACTAACCACTGAATTTGTAATGTCTGCCCCAATCAAGAGGTCTGTGTCAGCTCCAACGAAAATATGCAACTTCACAAGGTAACTTACTTCTTCTGCATGCGACTATCGTCCTAGAGGCAAGGTGCATTATATAACTACATTGCTCACGATCCCTGGGCTTGTCAACAGAGAGTACAGCTGAGTTTGTGTGGACAGCCAAGAGTAGAGACGTGATTAGTAGGGCATTGGGACATGCCTCCCGAGATTAGGGGCAGTTTCTTATAACTTCAGATGGTTCTAGTCGAGAGAATCCCTGAAATGCAGGTGTAAGCGAACTGATTACTGATGCAGATGGGTTCATGGATTTGTGAGCAAGCATTTGTTCTTCAATGGCCTGTTTACTTACTATTGTTCAGATCTTTGTTGGACCTTGGAGTATCTGACTCTATCCGATCCAATGAGGATAACAGTTGCGCTTTGGGCAACCTAACATTTTTAATTTTTATGTTTTTCTCCTGAACAAAAGATCGACTAAATAACCTTGACTCTATCTGAGGTTATTCTTTGGGTTTTCATTTTTGTTATAAGCTGAGAGTATGTATCATGTGTAGTTCACCGGAAAAAAGGAAAGAAAAGAAAAGATGAGTTCTGGATACTGATCCGCGGAACTTTAAGATATTTCACTAACAAAAACTAATAAATATTAAGTCATACAACACTCCTTCTCCTTAAGAGCAAGTGGAACCCCATCATAAATTACAAAAATGAAAGGGAAATAACCACGAAACCGAAGACATATAGTACAAGTTCTCCCTCTTCTCTAATTGTCATGCCCAAGAGGCCTTTGTTTTCCCTCCATAATCCACACTCTAAAGAAAGGTTTGTTGCTTAAGTACCGTGCCTACAAAGATAACCCAGCTGAGATATAATCACGTTGATCCTAATCAATGCATCAGAAGGTGGAAGTCATTGTCATCAGTTACAACGACATAATCGTATCCAAGGTGGTTGGCACAATTACGGAATTCGTCCATCTCACTCTGTTGAACCTGGACTCCAACCAGGACATTTGCACCAGTTTCACCCTGTTGGAAGGGGGAATTCAAGAAAACAATATCAGGATTGATGAGGGGAAAGAACCCGTCAAAAATTTACCTAACAGGAAAATATCAATTATGGAAGAGAAGCATTTGCATGCCGACCTGCCCTCTGTAATGGAACAAGCTAATGTTCCAGCGTGGACTGAAAGAATCCAAAAACTTCATCAAAGCACCAGGCCTTTCTGGGAATACAAAACGACAAAGAACCTCATTCGGAACATTTATTTTGCCACCAATCTGTAAGGGATATATAAGAAACTAAGCATTAAAAGACCAAAGAGGCAAAAATTTATGTAACACATAATAGGCTCTTTAAAGAAATATGAGGGAAAGTGACTCCCTTTCCCAAATTATACACTTTCAGAAGTAGAAACGATATGGAATGGAGTCATGGACATTACAAGGAGAAAATACAAAAATCCCTTCTGTCAACCCAACACAGGTAAATAAAATGAAAGGAGAAAGGAAAAATTAAATCTATTTTTTTTTTTTTCGTAACCTTGGAGAATGGGGGAATAGAAAAAATAATCAAAACAGCAAATGTCCTTGAAAAGGGGTATAGAAAGATTGTTCATTCGATATTGTTTGCTAATGTGTTGTTTCTACTTGATTAAGCACAACATGGGGAGACATTTCAAGAAATTTGGGTAACGAGTTCTCTATTACACAAAGGAACATCCTTTATTCTTCAACAATATACATACATCCGATGAGTGACTTCGTAGCCATGAAACATAACCAAAAAAAATAATAATTAAGGAATCAACTTGAGAAATTATTTATGAGAATGCCATATTACCAAATAACGCAGGTGATCTTTGACCAAGTCACTTGCTGTTAGATTGTAAGTTTTTAGTTGAGAAGATTCCATCCGCTGCTTCATTGCTTCAAGTTCAGAGGCTGTGTGAAGGCCAACACTGCAAGTAAATCAAAGGATGATAAAGCGTTCTTGTTTCACTACATTTTATTTCTGAATTGCCAACGAGCAATTATGTTCTAACTAGTTCAAAGAAAAGAATAAAGCTAAATTGATTGAAAATATTGCCGCTGACAAATTGTACAAACTCCCTCCACCCATGAAAGCGTGGAGCCCACTACAATTTTGGGGGTTTGTGTAACCTTCATTCTAAAATTTCTATCCCACATAACCCTGTTCAAAAGTGAAAAAATTCACAGGAATATTCTAAACTACTGGTAGAACATTCTTACAGAAAACTATTTCAAACTGAAATCAGTGAACTGATTTAAATATTTATAAGAGCAGTTATAATCTCAGCAATACTAACCTGTACAGAACAACAGCATCCTTTTCAGAATTAGATCTGTATTTGAACTCAGTGATATCCATAGGCCCTACCTGCCACCCAAATGATTTAAATTAGAGCGAATTAAACAAATAAAATGGATGTTATTTTACAAAAACTTATAAAGTTATAATGCCATACCAGTTCACAAAAATGTTTGAAACTCCCCGGGACCTCTGGCATAACAGTTGCAAGCACAGCTTCTTGTTGCCTACCAACATTAGCAAGTTCAGTCACAACCCTCAGTTTATCAAAGTTCATATTTGCCCCACTCGTTATTGCTACAACATTTGCACCCTTGACACCGTAATACTTGCAATATGCTTCAGCCCCAGCAAGGGCAAGAGCACCTGCTGGCTCTAAAATGCTCCTTTTCTCCTCAAACATATCCTGCAACACAAACTCAACGATGATTTAGTCTGACTGGTATTAGCGGGTTTGCAGGGTTAGCCATCATTTCTAAGGAATACAATTCACCAAATATTTTGTTTTAGTATCTATGGGAAAAGAGAGGAAAAGAGGAATTGAGAAGGATGGTGCAATGAGAACCAGTCCTCTTCGCTCTCTGTGTTGATCAATGCAGTAAACTTATACATATCCATGCTGAAGTCAACATTCTGACCACATAAGGCATTTTTAGTGATGAAGATAATTATGGGGTGCTAAGTAATACACAATTACTCAGAACCCTCATTTCTGGTCTTGACAGGTATGAGGGGAAGATGCAACTAATCAACCATCTGACCAACTGATCACACTTAGAATTCACAACAAGCTAAAGAGAAGAATTCACGCAATTTGGAAAACACAAAATAAATCCTACCTTTATTGACGCACAAATTGCATCACGGCTCACAAGAACTACACCATCTACCAATTCCCTGCATAATCGGAAAGTTTCTTCTCCAACTTCTTTAACAGCCACACCATCTGCAAAACCTCCAACTTGGTCCAGCGTCACTCTCTCACCATGATGTAGCGACAGTGCCATAGCATTTGCATCAGACGGTTCCACTCCAATGATCTTAACCTACATTAAATATTCAATAAGTGTTCTTCGAGAGCTATGTGACATCGAATAGAAAACATCAAGCAAATGAAAGTGAAGAGATGACAAAGAAATAAATTAAATTTACAGAAAGCATTTTCAAGCCGTTGTAACCTATGGCAGTTTGTCCAAATATCAAATGCAGAAAAATGCACCAATATCAATAAATTTGAACTAAATTTTCAACGCGTATCTTTTAAAGTTAAAAACATAACACAAAAGACGACAGACCTCGGGATTAACCCTCTTTACATAAGCAGCAATACCAGCTATTAAGCCACCACCCCCCACAGGCACAAAGATTGCATGCAACGGACCTTGCATTTGACGTACAATTTCCATCCCAACAGTTCCCTGTCCCATGATAACATCTGGGTGATCAAAAGGAGGTATGAATGTCCGAGCCTCTTCTTTGGCCCTCTTTTTAGCATATGCCTGTGCCTCGTCATAAGAATCCCCCCTAGAACAACAGTCGCACCCAACCTCTCAACAGATTGCCACTGTAATAGAACAAATTCACACTTCAATTAAAAAACCATACTTTCACAGCTCAATCATAAAAAATAATGTCACGCATAATGTACCTTAATTTCAGGTGTAGTAACAGGCATAGCAATCACAGCATCGCAACCTAATCTTTTAGCGGCTAATGCAACACCTTGGGCATGATTTCCAGCTGATGAGCAGATAACTCCTCTTTGCAGCTGTTCCTTTGGAAGTTTTGCCATCATATTGTAAGCTCCACGCAGTTTAAACGAAAAGACCTAAAAAGAAGCCATTTTCCCATTCAAGCATCAAAACCCACATCCAATTTATGTTCAAAATTGACTAAAAACTGAAAAGTAACCACATTTGTGGCTGCTAAACACATACATCTTGATTGAAACAGCTCAAAATAAAAAGGATATTTGAATCTTCTTACAAAAAAACATATTCAATTAAGTTTTTTACTTTAAATACAAGCTCAAATTTAAAGCACCCAAAAAGAATTTATCATTCTAAATACTAACATACCAATAAAGATTCACACTTTAAATATTAACTGCTGACACCTCAACGCATTTTACTAAAAAAATTGCAGCAGCAGCGACACTGACAACGACAACAACAATAGTAAGATGGAAATATTTGAAATAATCTTACCGGCTGCAAATCCTCTCTCTTGAGCCAAATCTTGACTCCTAATCTCTCAGACAGCTTAGGTGCCAACTGCAGTGGAGATTCAATCGCTACGTCATACACCTTTGACGACAATATATTCGTCAAATACCCCATTGCATTTTCTATACTCTCATTATCGCCATCCTTAAACGTACGCTCAGGTACGGCACCCAAGTAACCGGAGGGGTACTGCAGAGAATTGGCAGAGACTTTCTTTGCAGGAGATGGAGGCGAAGAAATAGTGGAGGACCCTAAGGGATTATCGCAGGAGGAAGATGATGAAGTTGGCATTGGACGGATCTCCGCCACGTGTTTTGATAGGGTGGCATTGAGGAACGGCTTGATTGCTTTGTTGGGGTCGTAGTGAGGTCTAGTGAGAATTTGTGGGGCGAATTTGGAGCGGTTTGGGCGGAGGAGTGGTTGTCCCTGTGGTGGCTTTAGACGGAGAGCCTCCATTTCTTTTGTGTTTTTGTTTGAGAGGGAGGAAGAGAGGGAGAAGCAGCCGGGGTATTTATTGTGGGCTGGTGACTTTTGGTCAATGCTACTTGCCGCTTTTTTGGAATTGTATGAAAGCCAATCAAAGAGCCAAACGTTTCTAGGAGTAAAGTATAAATACTTACTTTATGTATCGTATTTCATGAGCCTACTGTGAGAAAATAAACAGATAAAAAAAATTATATTTAGATTCATAAAAAATGATATTTCCACTTAGGTTCAAATATATATATTTTTTAATTTTATCTTTATTTATTTATTTATTTATAAAATAATTATTGTTGAGTAGAATAAGATAAAATTTATTTATCATTTAGGCAAGCCATATGCTCCAGAAAGATAAAAGCATTCCTAGTTTTATTCTGGAAAAAATAGAAAAGAAATTCACTCATCAATGAGACAACTACAGTCTACACGCGTGTTAATGTAACTCTTTGAAGTAAGACCCCTGCATATGGTCTTTATCAATTTCAGTGTCTACCTTTTTCTTTACTATCAATCACGTTTCTTGCATTTTTTAATTGTATCTTTTTGTTAAATTTTTTTTTAATATTTCAAGTCTAATATGTATATTTTATTCACTAAAACAACATTGATTTGAAAAAAAAAACGATGGAAAAATTAATGGATATTGACAATTCTTTCTACTGTGCATATTTTATGCACTAAGATGACTTTGATTTGAAAAAAAAATTGATTAAAAAAATTGATGAACATTAACAGATTGATCATGAGATTTTAAAAAAATTGGAATCTAATTGATAAATTTATAAGTTTAGAATTCAATTAAAAATGAGTATATGAGTTACAGACTAAATTGAGATTTTGTTTTTTTAATTATTTCCTAGAAATTAGAAATCTCCTTCTTTCCTTGTGTGATTTCCATTCAAAAGCTTTTTATGATTACCTTTCATATATTTACATATATTCAAGATATAGTTTCAACATAAAACACCCATAAGACTTCTTGTTTTTATTTCTTAATGGTGATTTGTCTTCGATAATTTTTTTTTTTTATCCTTTTCTCATTGTAATACTTGAAATCTCAAAACTCATATATACCCAAACTCCCTCATAACTTGAATATTGTGATAAATTGTTTGGATTTTTAATTAATGTTTAAAATTATTTGATAAAAATCCTTAATTATGAAAAGATGTCAAAATTTTCATTTAAAAATTAAATCTTGTTCATATTTGGTCTCTGTACACTTTGGATCTTTTTTATATCAAAATCTTCTATTCTTTTTCATATCAATTGATTCTTTCTATTTATTTTATTTTATTTTGTTAACATTTCATCCTCATAATGACCCTAATTCATGTGCCTATATGATACGTTATTTCAAAACGACAACTTAAATCTACGATATGTGTCATTAATGAAACTCACATCACAATAAAATTATAATATATTTAGAAATAAAAAAATAAGTAAATAATAAGTAAAAAAGAAAGAAAAAAAATAAAATCTAACATGTAATTAAAACAAACCTCACATCAAATTTTATCCGCACACACAACCGTGCTTACATTTCGAACTCATGTGAGTTCGTAATACAAGCACTTTGTATGAGACAATGAGGCAAGTTAGTGGTTGTTTGTAGCACTCCAACGGACATAGTGGTGCTTATGTGTATCGTTATCAAGAGTGTCAAGACCTCGCATATGGTCTTTATTAATTTCTAAACGACGTGTTTCTCTTTTCTTCGCTATCAATCACGTTTCTAGCATTTTTTTAATTGTATCTTTTTGCGAAATTTTTTTTAAATATTTCCAGTCTAATATGTGTATTTTATTCACTAAAACAACATGATTTGAAAAGAAAATGAAAAAATTAATGGATATTGACATTTCATTCTAATGTGCATATTTTATGCACTAAATTAATGAACATTATCAGATGATCATTAAATTTTAAAATATTTGGAATCTAATTGATAAATTTATAAGTTTAGAATTCAATTAAAAACGAATACATAAGTTATAGAATAAATTGAGGTTTTTTTTTATTTCCTTAAAATTAGAAATTTCCTTCTTTCCTTATGTGATATCCATTCAAAAGCGGAATTATGGAATGTTTTACTCCCAAAGTATTGCATTTTAGTAATTTCGGATCCAATGTATGAAATTGCATAATTTGAACCTTAAAATATGTCGAGAAGCTTCCTTGACATGGTAGGGTACTACAGGAAATTCGTGGAAGAATTTTTCAAGATAGCTACTTCACCGACTAAATTGACGAGGAAGAATGCAAAGTTTGAGTGGGATGATGATTGTGAAAAGAGCTTTCAAAAGCTAAAGTTCAAGTTAACTACAACACATGTTTTAGCTCTACTAGAGGATGATGAAGACTTCGTAATCTGTACCGATGCATCGGGAATTAGACTCGATGCAGTTTTAATGCAACATGGAAGATTAATTGCTTATACATCTAGACAATTAAAAGACTCGAGAAGAACTATCCCACTCATGACTTGGAGTTAGTCTGTTGTGATTTTTGCCTTGAAGATTTTGAGGCACTACTTATATGGAGTCAAGTGTGACAAATACACCAACCATGAGAGCCTCTAGTATATCTTCACCCGGAAAGATTTAAATATGAGGCAAAAGAGGTGGCTCGAAGTGTTAAATGATCATGACATTGCTTTTCACCACCACCCTAATAAAGCAAATGTCGTGACGGATGATTTAAGCTGAAAGACATTAACGACTATTTAGGTCCAAATGGTTAAGGACATTGAGAGGTTACGACTGAAGGTTATGCTAAAAGAAGATTGTGATATGATGTTGGGTGCAATGATGCTACAACCCGATATGAGACGACGAATTAAAGATGGTCACCTACAAGATTCAAATTTGATAAAAGTCCAAAAACATGTAGACTGAAAGAAAGTTTACGAGTATGCCCGATAGCAAAGGCATTTGGCGCTATCGAAGAAGGCTATATGTTCCCACCAATAAGGAGCTTCGAGGAGATATCTTAAGGGAAGCTTATGCTACATCCTATTCCATCCATATAGGAGGTACTAAAATATATCGAAACTTAAAAAGAAACTATTGATGGAACTGGATAAAGCAAGATATTGTTGACTTTGTAGAAAGATGCTTAATATGTTAACAAGTCAAGATTGAACATCAAAGGCCATCGGGATTACTAAGACCCCTTGACATACCCGAATGAAAATAGGAGCACATCACTATGGACTTCATACTTGGACTATCTCGATTCGAGAAGGGAGCCGATAGTACATCATGGTTTTGGAAAAGTCTACTCTAGATATAGGAACCAATCCGAATTTCGGCATGACCTTTCACCCTCAAACCGATGGACGAACAAAAGGGGTAAGTCAAATTTTAGAGGACATGTTATGAGCCCGCATTCTAAACTAATATGCTAGATGAAAGAGATACTTACCATTTATAGAATTTACTTATTATAATAACTATCAAACCATCATTGGTATGACATCATATGAAGCCTTATATGGACGAAGGTATCGATCACCAATAAACCGGGACGATGTTAGCGGGCAAAGTTATTAGGACCAAAAATGGTTCGGTAAATAGCAAAAGTGATTGAGCATATCGGAATGAGAATGAAGATAACTCAAAATAGGCAAAAGAGTTATGTTGATGTCCAAAGGAAAGACTTAGAATTTGAGGTCGATAATAAGGTGTTCCTACGGGTAGCACCAATGAAAGGAGTAATGGGGTTCGAGAGGAAAGAAAAACTAAGTCAAAGGTATATTGGGTCATTTAAAATGTTAGAAAGAATTAGAGATCGTGCTTATAAATTAACTTTATTTCCATCCCTCTCTTTAATGCATAACGTATTTCATGTGTCAATGTTACAAAAATACGTAGAGGATCCGAGCCACATTCTAAGAGATGAGTCACTCGGACCTCCAATCCGATCTTAGCTATCAAGAAGGGCGAGTTCAAATCCTAGATCGAAAGTTGAAATAGATAAGGAATAAGCAGATTTCTCTCGTGAATTGTTATGGAGAAACCATAACATATAAGAAGCAACATGGGAAAGAGAGGAGGAGATTAAAGCAAAATATCCTAAGTTGTTTAGTTAGAAATTTTGAGGATATAATTTTTATGAGGAGGGAAGGATGTAATATCCTTGATCTAAAACCCTCCTAAAAATGTAAATATATTATATGAATATTTTGTTAATTAATAAGAAGGTGTATTTATTGAATGCATGAGCGAAGTTTGAAATTCAATTGAGAATAAAAGAAAGTGTAAGCAAAATTAATAGAAGGGGTTTATGGAAAGAGAAGTTTAAATTAAACAATGGTACCTTTAATTAATATGATTATGCATTATCATAAGGGTGTAATTACAAAACATATTGCTATAATTGTAAAAATTAAAGGTTTACGTCCTTAATTGAAATGATTAAAAAACCTTAGAAACTTGAATTAACTTTAGGATTAGCCTAGATGAGTGCCAAATTGATGAAAAATGTGAAGTTATGGACTGAAATTATATGGTCAAATTACAAGGATTGGAAGTTTGAGGACCAAAGTGTTAAATATTAATAATATGAGAGACCCATTAGTTGAAATTAAGGAAAAAAATAGGTTAGAAAAATCTAGAATTCTAGACTTAAGAAAGAGAGAGAGATAGGCTAGAAGGGAGAAAGAAAAAAGGAGAAAAAGAAGAGAAAAACCTAGGTCAAAAAGAGGAAAACTTCAACTACTCAAAACCACCACTCCCAATCATTTTAACTAGTTTAGAAATACCTTAAATTAGCCTCCAAATCATCTTAAACGATTAAGCAATGAGAAGGGGAGAGTTCTTCACTTTGGTCAAATTTTCTTGGAACGAATGAGAAGGAAGGAACTAAGGAGGAAAAGAAGGAGAAAGGCCAAATTCTAAGCGAGGTAAGTATAATTTCTCACCTACACCATAAGAATTTAGGTATGGAGGTGTAATTTAATGCAAATG